AGTTACATATATATATATATATATATATATATTTTTTTTTTTTGTAACTTGGCTTTCTAATTTTGGTGGGTTTTGCAGATTGCAAACATCCCAAGACAGCGGAGGATTTTCTAAGATCAGCAACTCCTTCCAAGGTTTTTTCCTTTCTTCTTTCTACCCTCTTGTTAAGTGTGAGATTCTCAATCTTGGGTGTTTCCCCATTTGATAAGCATTTAGCCTCGAGCTGGTTCTCTGATGCCGTGTTTCTATTTACGGGCTTTGGTGATATTGTTCTGAGATTCTTTTAATCTTTTGCTTTTTGTAGAAGGGTTTCAGCCCAGGTTATCTTTCAGAAAATCTTTCATGTGGTGGCAAAAATAGAAGGTAATTGAGAGTGACACTCTTTAATTCAAGATTGTGTTGAAAGATTGAAATTCGCAAATTTTGTATCTTGATACAGAGATGTGAAAATCAAGAGAAGGGTGCCTGCACTATCATCAGCTTCAGCCCAAGCTGATAAATTCAGATTCAACCACGACAGTGAAAACCAAAACCCGAATTTGTTTTCTCCTCCTACTAAAGTAAACCTCGGGAAGGAAGCAATTAAGTCTAGTGAAGAGAAGAAGAAAGTGGTTGATGACACATTCGAGGATCACAAGGTACCTTCATTGAGGTCAACTCTATCTGCCAGGAATTTGTTTGCGGGGAGGCCTATTCTGAATCAAATCACGGAATTCTGCAATGAGTTGAAGAAATTGGCAATAAGAGCAAGGGAGAGAGAAAATGATGAAAAATTGAGCCTCAAAGAGAGTGAAGAGGTAGTGGAGAAGAACCCTTGTTCTGTTCAAGCCTTGGCAGAGTCAGATAAAAAAGAGAAAGAAAGGAAGCCACTGCTTGAAGTGAGTAGTAAGGCTGAAAAATTGGAGGGAATGTGTGTTAAAGTGAAGCAACAGAGAAAAATGTAAGCATATTCTTCTATGGTCCCAATTAGAAATTCTAGGAATTATATACAAAATCTTAGGATTGTTTTGGTTGACAAAATATATTATTTTCACTTTCAATTACAAAGATGTCACATTATTATCAGTTTATTTTTCTGCTTTTAAATACTTGTATAGTAAACACCGAAAACAATTTTTATTGTTGAAGATGGTGTGACATTTTTGTAAGTAAAAGTGAAAAAAAAAAAAAAATAGAAAATGGAAAATATTTAGTTTGGAGTTTAGGGTTCAATTCAATGAATTCACGTGAGTACAAAATACCACACCAAACACTAGAAAATTACAAGTAAATGTGGTCCACAGAAAATTATGAGTTTCAATTGTTGCCGCCATGATGCAGTTGTGGCAGTATTAGGGTTGCAATTGAAATTGGGGACTGCAATATAAATATAACTGCTAAAAAGGTTTTTTTTTTTCCTTATCAGATAGTAATAATTTATACTTGTCAACAGATTCTAGTGTTGAAACTAAAACAGTGCTAAAAACTGTTTGTCATGTTGATGTTTTTATTTGTAATGACTAGCATGCTTGGAACTGTGATAAGTAATGCCAATTGATATTGCACTATTGAAGTTATAAAATTATTATCCTCAATCTTAGAAAACAAAACTACATTTTGTTCATGTACATATTTATGCTTAATCTGCATTGCCAAGAAATGTGATTATTTAGTTAGCCACGTGATAGACCATGTTTATGGTATTCAGTGGCAACCCAATAAATGTAGGTAGTTGCATAATTCATATAGCCTGAGTTTGGTGGAGGATCTCTTTCACGCCAAACAGAAAGCTAACTAGGACAGACATCACTTTTGCATCATGCATAATTATTTTTCATATACACACACCCCTTTGGAGACAAATTATAGGCTTGTTATAGGTCAGTTTTCAAATTATAGGTCGTTTATTTTCCGAAGCTCTTTTATTTTGTGGTATATGGAAACGCGTCTTCTAATTAAATTTATTACTGGCTTGTCACCACTACATTCCTTTCATGGCATTAAAGGGCCCCATTAGAAATAACCAAATCATTTTCTAAATTCTCACAGCATCCTCCACCACCTCATCAGTTGCTTCAAACATAAGAAGTTATATTCGTGAGATACTAAATTTCAGCTACTATCTTATGTCATAGTCTTTTTTATTCATCTTCAGTATAGTTAAGCCTGTTTCAAACAGTAAACATGCGAGTTCATTTATCAAATCAAACAATAAGAAATACAAAATTATTGATACTATAGTTCATTGAGTGCCAACTGTTTTCTAACTTGATTATCAACAACTGCAAGTTGCAACCATTCTAGCATTTCCCGAGTTAATCATTTGTGTATTACTACTGCTGTATTCTGCAGAAGACATGATGAGTCGGAGAACATGCCTACTCTTGACTTGGAGAATCTGAAGCACAAGAGGGAGGAGAGCTTACAACAAATTCGAACAAATCCTCCCTCTCCTCAGTGCTTTTCTGCCGCACGTGCATTCAACAAAAATACCCCCACAAAGGGTTCCAAATCCAGGCTAATGGTATGTTTTTCGTAACTGCATTTTTTCAGATTGAAAGACCGTGCCAACATTTCATTAGACAAAATCATCAAAACCAAAGATTTTGATTGGGTTAGGACGGATAAATAGGTTTTGTAGTTATATTTAAGGTTTAAATACCTTTTTAGCCTTTATAGTTTTATGAACTTTATCTTTTAGTTTCTATAATTTGGAATATTTCATTTTAGCCCCTATACATATGTTTTTGTTTCCTTTTAATTCTTATAGTTTCATAAACTTTTTCTTTTAGTCCTTATAGCAATAGCCAATAAAGACTAAAACAAAAACTGATATATAGGAAAAAAAATAGAAATTTTTTTAATTATAAGGACTAAAAGATAAAACTCATGAAACTATAGGGACCGAAAGGGTATTAAAACCTAAATATTTAATAGATTTTCATGAAATATCTTTCTAAAAATTCATGCATTACTTGATATAGCTTTCATATCAAGAAAACAAGATATAGCTTGTATCATTTATGATACTTGAAAGGATCATGAAAATGTACCAATTCATGCTGCATTTGGGATATATTACATATATGCTGATTTGATTAACAAATAACAAGATCAATGAATACTTTATTCAATGTCAAAGACTCAAATGACACCACACTACACATCAGTCCTACTGTATAAGGGCAAAGGCTTTGCTGCTGTTAAAATTTTCACTCTTCCTATAACCTAACAGGAGTTGAATGTTTCTGATATGCCTTTTCTTTTTCTTCTTTTGCAGGATAGAGGAATACTTGAACAAATTGAACAAAACAAGGAAACTGTGAAGGAGCCTCCTGCAGAGAAAAGCAGAAGCACTGCAATAGTTGATGGTAGAGAAACAAAAGCCTTGGACATGTTTTGGTTCCTGAAGCCTTGCACACTCTCAGGTTGAATCTATTGAAAACTGGGCCAAATACATTATTTCATTCTTTCATTTGTTTTTAATATTAGTAATTTTTAATGAAGCCCTCATAAAACAACACTGTTTTATATATAGCCATTCTTTATAACTGTAGCTATTTTTTTTTAATTTATTTGTTGTCTTATGTTCTCCTGTATTCTTGTTTGTACCGTTGATACAAGAATAGGAATCTGACGATTCAAAATACACCTGTACTGGAACAATGATTCTGTTAATAAATTGTTATCTTTCTTGCCTGTGACTTGAGGGATTAGTGCTGTATGTTTAATCGATTAACTCTTATGGTCTCGTGGTATCTTGTTCTTGCAACCTTGAGGAGACTCAATGACAGGGCATGTTTTTATCTCAAGAATATGCAAGTCACCATTGATTAATTTAAAGAGCATTTTAATCTTAATCTCTGATGTATAGATACTGTACCCGCAATGTATGGCTTTCTCTCTATCAAAATTTGGATGTTTTATATTGTAATTCTAAATTGCATACATTTTTTTTAGAGCGAGACAAATGTGTTATGATTACTTGAATTTTTTTAGATTTAACTATTTATTTATTTATTTAGATTTAACTATTTTTTTCAATAATTTTTTCAGAAGATTAAAGACAAGTTGTTATTACAACGGTATAGGGAGATTATCATTTTGATGTGAGAATGAGAATATGTTCAATTTCAACTCTTAAATTAAAATAAATGACTTATAATATATGTGAGAATGAAAATATGTTCAATTTCAACCATTAAATTAAAATAAATGACTTAAATTCAAATATTATAAATATAGTCGTACGTATTTTATCGTCGTTGTGGTTATCATCATTAGAATTATTGTTAATACTATCACCATTGTCGTCACTACTATTATCGTTATTAATGTTATCAAACTTAAGAATCGAAAGACAGTAAAAGATTGTAATTTGACTTGTTAGAGTTATGTGTATATGCAAAATTATATTTATATAAATGCATATAGATAAAAATAATAAACTAGAAAAATAATTCATAACTCATAATAAATCATAAAAGATTAAGATTCGGTGCATAACACAACTCAAAATAATTTCATAATTCATAACATAACTCATAATAATTTCATAATAAAAATAATAAATTATGATAACATTTAAATTAAAGTTAGGATGAGTGAATAATGAATAACAAAAGAAAAGATGCATTCATTGACGACAACGTTAGTGGTGACTATATAAATGATAATGAAAATGTTGACGACAAACAACAACGATAAACAATTGAAACAATGGTTAAATCATTGACAAGAAATGACAACGATAATGAAAGTGTCAATATAATAGGTATGGTAGTTGTTGCCATCACTAATGGTGGTGGCCGTGTCAACGATAGTAGTGGTGGTTGTGGTGATAGTGGGGACAATGATGGTGTTACTAGTTTCTTCTAATCTAGCTCCAACACAATTCCAAAATTTGAATGTTTGATGAGACAATTTGAATATTGAAAGAAAAATTGGCCTCTTAAGTGAATGTAGGTCTTCAAGTCACTCACAATGAACATTAGATTGGTAAATGAAATAACAATAAAAAGTGGATAATTGACTTAAATCAGTAAAGGATAACAAAATTTCAACATGAAAGCTATAAATTCGGCAAAATTTAAAGATGCATTGGAAGAAAAAATCTATGAAAAAAATGAAATATATGTTTGAATGATTTGTGTGTGTCTCAATGTATTTTGGTAAATATTTTCATTGCAAATTTGAAACTAGCAACCTAAATCAAGTCTATGTAACCTTTGACCACTAATTATTGTGGTCTTCAATTGTTTTGGCTAATTGACTTGATTTCGACTAGCTCTCTCATCAATGCACATACTCTAATCCTATTTTTTTTAGGAAATATCTATGAAATCTTAGGGGTTGAATTAACAGCTTCTTTTAACTGTTGGGAGCATGGTTCTTAGATTTCTGGCTTCATGCTTCATCGTTTTCATAAAAAATGCTTCGACAACATTTCAAATTCTATATTACCCACTTGAATTATTCACTTAATATATATCACTAATATCAATAGACAGTCTTTGAGATATCTTATCCTTTCGACTAACCCACTCTACTAGAAATTTTTTAATGATGATAATGTCCCTTATATCTTGGTTGGTATGAAGAGTTTAAGATATAACCTTTATGATTTAAACATCATTGTAATGGATTTATCATAAAATCATTTAGTCATTACAAATCTCTTTCATCGCATCCTCTTTAAGTAAATCCTTTACTTATCATAACTATCGGATCCAGCTTTTCTAGTGATCACGGGCTATTGCTACTCCAGGGGTTTCGAGAATCTGCTCAAGGCTCAAGAGGGTCGTGACTAACTCCAGCTTTGTACTGATGAACGTCATGGATGTGATAACCTTGTTGGTCCATGACCACCGTCATTCTAGCTATCCATTTCCTATTACCTCCTGGTTTCGATCGAGTATGATCCCTTCCAATATGGGCACATGGCCTAGGGGCTCTAAACCTTACTATAAGTGGCCCAATAGAATGATTTATGCAAAGGGAGCCGATTGGAAGAGGTGGGGCATTTTTTAAGGCCATTAATTTGACAAAACAAATGTTAAACCCAATTACCCACTAATTTTTCAACTTTTCATCATGCCCTTTGGCTTTATGACCTTTATTGTGTAGGGTATATGGTCACAATCTTGGGATTCCTTATCATTGTTGATGTAGTTTCGTCCCTCTATGACCAAGATACCGATGATCTTGGCATTTCTTTTAACTTTTCCATCAACGACTATCCTCAGTTTCTGATAGCCAATGTGAAGAGCACAACTATGTCAGTCCAAGAACACAACGCCTTCCTTCTACATTGGGATGGTAAGTACTTTATCTGTTCTTCCTCAAATGTTGTTGTATTCGAGTATATGGTTTACATGTTTCTTTGCTTCGGTTAGAGCAGCTGATGGCTATCGTTGTATTGTTTTTATCTTCTCTCTACCAGTTGATCTTCCTGATCTTGGAGAAATTGGCAACTGGTTAGAACATTACTAGTTTCTCTAGCTCTATTTGGTTTCTCCGGCTTGGATTATGAAGTTGCCGAAATTTGCTAGCGCTTTGGACTTCCAAGGGAAGGATCCTATTTTCGTGAAGCTTATTAAGTATCCGATACTCTTTTATCCATACCATAACACAAATAATATAAAGCTAAAATATCTCATGAAATAAATAAACTCAAAATTCATACAAGTAGAGAGAATCACATTGTCAACATAAATTAACTTAATGAAAATAATAAAATTACAAGGGAATTAAAATCAAAGTTCTCAAATTTAATAAGATGAAACAAACTCCTAAATTAATCTTAACTATGCTCCAATATCATATGTTTTATCAAAACAACCCTTTATAAAGCCTAAGCCTTATCACTAATATCTTCAACACCATATTGATGATATTACTTACGGAAACCACAAGAGCAACAACAATCAATACAAGAGAGTGAAAAACATGTCACTCTAGTTTACGGTGTATGAATGCCACTAGATAGCCAAACACAAACAAGCATACAACAAGACATAATAAACACAACTAAACATTATCATCACATTTGATTCATTCATAACCTAATTAACAATATCAGATAGCATTATAATGCATTATGCAATGAACACAAACTACAAATTATTATGCATGTGACACCAGTAAAAATATTCCACTTGTGCATTATCATAAGCAATATTCTCTCTAAGAGGATATACTACTAGGGTCTGGTCGGGATAATTAAGTTGTGCAAGATACATCTTATGCACACAGCGGTAAGACTTGGATTTCCGAAACCAAGCTATCCCCAAGGTTGGTTTCCAAGCTTTTACACAAGAGGTCTTTCTTGATGGTATATTTCATATTGTACCCCAAAAATACATTTTATGCAAATGATACATGTCAAATAGTCTTAATGCATTACATTCACATGATCTCATAATTTCACAGTTCACATACTTTTTTTATATATCACATTACTCATCATTCATATTAATATATTCATATATAGATATCAATTCACATTCGCATTAGCATCACAATACAATAGTTACAACATGGAAATCAACAAAAGAACAACAAAATTTTCATTGGTAGGATGACACCCAATAGCACATGCCCACGCCTGATACAAATACCATCGATAGGTCTTTGGAGTGTTCATGCTTGGTGTGAGTCATCTCATGCCCGACGGAAGCATCATAAGGAGCTCCTGGAGCTTTTGCACTCAATGATGGTCATCCCATGCCTGACGTGAGAGACCTTGAGAGCAATCTTTGTTCTTAGCCTCAATAATGTCTGACATGCCTCAAGTGATGCCTGATGTCATATTAGAAACAACATGCATAACAAAAAAATGTAGAAATAAGAGTCATACACCAATTCACCAAAATAAAAAATTCAATCGGTAAAAATGCTCTATAACATACCATTAACACTCCATATTACTTCATTTACACATATAAACTAATATCGTAGCATAACTATCACAACAAGTTCCTTTAGGGTTTCTCATGGGAACTATAGGGATTTGAGATCACGCAATTATCAACCAAAGCATGCAATTAATCATACAGGCAAAAAGTCATGTCATTGTTTATGTTCAAGAAGAAGAATAGAAGAAAATTAGCACAATTAGGGAAAACCCCTCATTCACAAACAATTAACAAAGACGAGATTGAGGGTCAATCCTAGTACCCAACATACAATCCCTCACCCAAAACGAGGTTTCTCACCTCGTTACCTAGGGTGATTTTCCTTTTATTCTTATTCTTCGAGCTTTGAGCAAAAAATGAAGCGCGTATCTGAAAAACATAAAATGAAGCAGTGTGAAAAAGTTGTTCAAATCTTCTTTTTCAAAATATTAACTCTTTAACTCTCCAATTAAAACATATTAACTATAGTTACAAATTTCTTCCCTTTTATTTAATTAAAAAAATTAATTAAAACATTTAATTAAAATACCTTATATTATATTTTATGAAAAACAAAGTGTTACAACTCTCTCATCCTTTTAGAATTTTGTCCTCAAAATTACTTGAATAAAACAAAAATGGATATGCCTCCTGCATCTGACTTTCTAACTCCCACATAACAATTTCTTCAATATGCCCCTCAAATGACCTTAACCAAATGAGTATCTTTACCTCTTAGTTGTTTCACCCTCTTATCCTTAATCTTCAAAGGGACTATTTCATAGGTAAGGTTATCCTTCAATTGAATG